GTGTCAGAGACAGTGAGATTGGCACAGGATAGAGCAGAGTTTAGGGCTGTTGTGCATAGGGTCGCTATGAGTCGCAAGCGACTCGACGGCACATAACAACAACAAGAGTAGAGAATGATGTCATATGCTGTCAGGTAATCAAAATCTACAAGTTTGTAATCAGAAGTGTTAACAGTAATCACTACATTAGGTTCTTTGTCTTGTCAAATTTTCATGGAGAAAGAATATTTTCTCAACTTCAGTTTATATAAAAATCATCTTTTACATCTGTATAGAATTTCACATTGTATAAGGCTCTCATACATTCCTTATTTAGATTCTCAGGACAGCTGTGGACTTGTTCTCATTGCCGTGAAGTCAGAACTGAATTGTAGCTGAGTCTCCAGTGGGCTTTCAGAGGCTGTAAATCACAAGGGAAGAGACTGCCCACCTTTCTCTTGAGGAGCTGTGGGTGGATTCGAACCACCAGGGAGCTGCCACCTCCAGGTTAGCAGCACGGCTCCCTGTGGATCGTGCCTCCAGACCTCCCAGTTAGGGCAGGAGCGTTTCTTCCATTGAAATGTGAACTTTACCTGATAAATGTTGCCACGGCAGGTAAAGCCATCCCCAATGTAGTCAGGCTTGCAGGTGCACGTCCTTTCCTCTTGGTCCACGTGATTGCAGATTGCAAATTCACTACAGCCGCCATTTTTCTGGTGACATTCCCAATGGGAGACAGAACCAGTTAGTTGACCTGCTTTGCTTGTATTTGAAAAGCAATTCCACATTGATATTCATTTCTTAGATCACTTAACTAGTTTAATTTGCCCTCTTCCTAAATTTCTCTTCTCCTTTCTTCCTCATAGTGCCAGTCATCTTATTCACCTAACTTTGAGCCCTGGTAACATATTTGTGCACTGTGTCTGGCTGCTAACTGAAAGGTTGGAGGTTCAAATCCACTAGTTGCTCTGCAGGAGTGAAGATGGGTAATCACCTTCTAGAAAGATATAGAAACTCAAGGAGGGTGGCTATGAGTAAACGTGCTTTGATGGCAGATGGGTTCTTAAATTGGTAAGACTGAGAAAAACTGAATAAATTATGTTTACTGCATTGAAGCCGATGAGGGAGAGAATAGTTTAAAATGAATATATTTTAGGGCATTATGATTATCATAAGAGTCCGGAATGAGCAGAGTGGAGTATACTTGGG